GGTATATAGGCCCATTCGAGATTTTGGAAAGGATTGGGATGTTGGCATATCGTCTCGCCTTGCCGCCGAATTTGTCGCAAGTTCATAACGTCTTCCACGTGTCAATGTTAAGAAAGTATGAACCGGACCCGACCCACGTGCTGAACTACGAGGAAATAGACGTGGACGACAGAGTGTCGTACGTGGAAAAGCCAGTTCGGATCGAGGACAGAATGGAGCGAGTGTTGAGGAACAAGACAATTCCGATGGTTAAAGTGATTTGGGAACACCATGGAACCGAAGGTGCGACGTGGGAAAGTGAAGAGTTGATGCGACACCAGTACCCCCATTTGTTTGAATAGTTGGGTTGGATTGTAAATTTCGAGGACGAAATTTTTGTAAGGGGGGAAGAGTTGTGACATTCCGAATTTCGGGCCATAGTTGGGATTTATAAAACGTGTAATTCGTCAGTGTGCTTATAGTAAAATCTCGCCCGGGAACTGATCACTCTCGGTTATTGTTTTAAAATTGAGATTTCGCTAGAATCGCGCTCGATCGAATTTGACCGTTATTTAGACCCCGAACTTGACAGTCGATTTTCGGGAGTTTCAGGACGAAATAAATTGGTCGGTGTCAATATTATCGTAGCCGCGTTGAGATTGTCACGAATAATGGAAAAAGGGGAGTTTTTGACCGGGTGCGAATTTGGACTAGTAGACCTCCCTCGATATAGTTTGATTTAATTAATTCGGCCTTTGTCCCTTTTTATATGCGAGGCTTATTTTGGACCGGTAGATCGCTTTCGATTTTGAATTTGGGTCATAGGATCGCATTTAATATTTGATTGAAGTTAATTTTTTTTATTGTTTTTCTCTCTCTCTCTCTCTCTCTCTCCCCGGTCACCTTTTCCCCTTGCGCACGTTTGCCCCCCTGTCAGACCCATCCCTTCTCCTTCTCTCTCTTCCTTTTTCTTTTTCTTCTTCCTTCTTTCTTCTTCTTCTTCCTCCTCCTTCGTCGCTCGATCGTTTTGCTTCGCTCGCACCGCCCGACGCCGACCGAGCTCGCCTCCAGCCCCGCCGCCCCGCCGTCGCCGCGCTGTCGCCCGACCGAGCCGTGCCGCCTGCTCGCCCGCGACCGCCGCTCGTCGGCCTTGTCCGCTCGCCGGCCCCTGCCCACGCTGCACGCGAGCAGCAGCAGCTTGCCGCTGCGTCCGCCGTGGTCCGGCGTTGCCCGGCCGTCCGCCGGCTCGTCCCTCCGTCGCCCGGCCACCCGAGACGCCGCCGTGCCACCTCCGGCCGCCGCGCGACTTCCTCTCCCCCTGTTTCTCTCTTCCCCGACGCCTTCCCCAGTTTCGGCTCCCAGCTTCGCCGCCGCCGCGTGCCGTCGTTCCGGCCGCCGCCGCTCGGCCTCCGCCACCCAGTCTCTCCCCGCAGCCACCTCCGCCGACCTGCCGCTTCCCCCCTTGGCCGCCACCACCTTTCTTCCTCTGTTTTTCTTCCTCCCCGACGCCTCCCCTGTTTTGGGCTCTCCCCGGCGCCGCCTCGACCAGCAGCCGCGCGCCGCCGTACCGGCCGCCGTCGCTGCCCCGTCTACCACCACCTAGCCCCGGCGACCCTGCCCAGCCAGCCCGAGAGTGCCCGAGCCGTGGCCGAGCCCGCGCCCTTGCTCGTTCGGTTCGGCGAGGAGGCGTCACTTGTTCATCCAGGGCCGTCACTTTGTTCATTCCGGGTACTTGTTCATCCGGGGCCCGTTCATCGTTCATTCCGAGTCTTGTTCATCCGGGGCCCGCATCTTGTTTCATTCCGAGTACTTGTTCATCCGAGGCCCATACTGTTCATTCCGAACACTTGTTCATCCGAGGCCCATTCGTTCATTCCGAACACTTGTTCATCAAGGCCCGTTACTTGTTCGTTCGGCAGCCTGTTCATCCGGCCCGTTTTGAGCCCGTGCGGGTTTTTCCCGAGCCAAATTGAAGTAAGTGACTTCCTAAACCCTATCTAGTACTTTGGGTATTTTATGACTTGTCTCGGGTTTAGAACGGTTAGAACGTGATTTAATTTAATTATATTATGATATGATTGTGCTAATTGGATTGGATAAAATGATGTGCATGTTTTGGGTGATCGTACGTGGCCGACTTGAACGTCGGGTTTGTGGATTGACGTGGTGAGTTGTGAATATGGATGGTTTAATGCAATTGGCGTGAAATTGATTGAATTGAATGGCGTGTGCATGCCTGTCGATTATAAGCCCGGATTGATCGGAGGGCTACGGACTTGGGACGTGTTGACGGCGGTCCGTGTGAAGGCATGAATGGCCGGTGTGCCAAATGGATGCGGGCTTGAGACGTGTTGACGGTGGCCCGTTAGAGGTGTGTTGGACCGGGACGTATTTACGTCGGTCATTGGAAATTGAGCCCGGATTGATCGGAGGGCTACGGACTTGGGACGTGTTGACGGCGGTCCGTGTGAAAGCATGAATAGCTGGTGTGCCAAGTGGGCCTGAGGCGCAGTGGCGCGGGCAGTGAGAATGGACCTGAGGCGCAGTGGCGCGGGTCGTGAGAAAGATGTTCGGCCACGCATGCGAATTGAGTGATTGAATTGGCTGGTTGAGCGTGTGATTGAATTGGCTGGTTGAATTAGTTGGATTGATTGAGTGCAAGTGTGGTTGGTGTTTGAGCGGTTGTGATGTGCTCTTTAATTACTATTATTGTATTATCACGTTGTGACTAACGTGTAGAGTTGGCATGGGCTTGATGACGAGGTAAGTACAATGATGCGAATTTTATATATTATGGGGTAGATTGCATGTACGACTTGTCTGGGTACGCATTGGCCTACGTGGGGTATAGGGGGTTGCTTATTGAGACTCGTTCTCACGGTTATTATATAACCATTTCAGATCCGCGACCGTGATCGATTCGGAGATGCCGCCAGAGCTCCACAGGAATTGAAAGATAGATCATTTACCCTGTCTTTTGAGTACCTTTTGTAGAGGAGATAAGTTTGTCAACCACCGCCCCCTTTTGAAAATTGTGGCTTTAAATTTGGTAGCCTGGATTACTGTTTTGTATTAATGACTGCTTTATGAAATTATTGTTTCGTGCTATCCTCTTGTCATCTTGTTAGTTGTCTGGGTTGTTTTATTTTGCTTCCGCTTGCGTAGTTCGTTTGGGTCGGCGACGCGTCCTGGGACGTCGCGTTCAATACGACCGTGGAAGGGGTGTCGCGAGCCCGTTGGGGTTCGGGGCGTGACAGTTATTAAATCGTTTCTTCTAAATTAACAAAATTGAAAAGAACCAATATTCTACATTTAATGAAAAGAGCAGCACTTTACACTAGTACATAGACAAACATGCTCTTTGCATCATTGGAAAAGAAAAAGAATATATGTTGAAGAAAGAAAGCATATAAGTTATATTTAATGTTTTCTTCTTCGTTTTTTTCACCCAGTTGTGTCAAACTCAAATGTCGATGACAATCTCGTTGTCCATAAGAGATTGCTCGATGGCCAAGTTGACAATTTTTGACCGGATTGAGAAAGATTTTTAATTAGAGGTCCACCAAAACAGATCCAGAAAAGAAACCAGAAAGAATTGGAGAAAGAAGAGTTGCAAGAATCAAAGGAAGTACCAAAATGAAGAGATGTATAATATATATAATTACTTTTGAGCGTTACTATTTCTCCTTGTTAATTATGGCTATTCATGAATTGAAATATGGAAAAAGGCAAGTCAAAAGTATAAATACCTCCAAATCTTGGAGCATCTGCAATGGGAGTTGAAGCAAAGATGGTGTAGCTGGTCAAGGATGAAGGTCAAGGAAGGAGGATCTGCGAGAGTTTGTTATTATATGGTGGGAAACCGCCTATGTAGTGGCGGTGGTGGGTTTCAATATTGGACGGCGAAAGAGGAAATTGCAAACATTATCATAGCTATTTTTACTACTGAACCATTGATGATAATCACTTTATTTTATCGAAAGTGTATTTTGGTCTTTTTCTTAAACGTTTGCTTCGTGGGGTAATATGGATAGAATTGGTCTTCGCTCCATGCAATTATTTTTTTTTTGGAAATAATTTATTTGAGATATAGTATATTTCCACAATGAACCGTGTTGGCTAATTCCATAATTTCAGTACAACTGAGTAATACACGGGAGGAGTCAATTTATCTTTTTTGAAATATATTAAGAGCACGTGTCGTATTCATATTAGGTCTATTAAGAACAGAAAAGCTTATTCGTTGCACGCTAATGTAAAATAAGTTAGTTACATCAACATACATATTAGTCACGGATTAAGTTCGAAACATATGCCAATGACAAATTATATAAAAGGAAATACTCATTATTGAAGGCGCAAAAGGGGGAGCATCAGGTCAAGATTGTCTTTACTCTAGCTTTAAACCCCGATTACACAAAGGACAAGAGAGCAGAAGAATTATCTTCTTCACGTCCAAACTTTCCAGGAAAATCTACGACTACCATTACATGTATACGTATAATGAACCAAATTTCTGCACGGCCAAAGCTATTTTTCACAGAAAAAGTTCATCCTTACTCGTTTTTGGTTCCTGCCAACACGAACTAAAAGCGAAAATTTCCTTACCAAAAAAAAACTAAAAGTGAAAATTTATCCACCAGTGGGTGGCTGCGTTGGTTTGGCTCCTCTTCCTCATCGCTGAGGGGAGGGGTTCGAATCTCCGGTCGCTAGCGTCTTAAGTGGGGGGCCTTGGTGGTGGGGTCCTGGGCTAGCTCCCCCCGAGGTATAGTCGCTGTTGGTTCTGTCCGGCTGTCAGCTGGTGGGGCCGTACGGGCGGATCCTCGGTCATCCAAAAAAAAAAAACTAAAAGTGAAAATTTCATGAAAATCTGGAACGATGGTTTCCACCGAAAACCGTATACAGAGAGAACGATTGAAGGAAGTACCTGACATAACCCTAAACCAAGAAAAGCCCAAAGAAGAAACTAACCCTCGTGCTCTGCGAGAGAGTTCCAAGAAAATCCATATTTTCTAAAACGTTCATGGTCTGTCTTTCTTTGGCTTCCGGGATGACCTCTTTTGTTCCTCCCTTTTCTTCTTGGCTTCCCTCTTCTTCTTATCTTGTTCCAATAAATATTCGAAATCTAGCCCATTCAACAATGCTCTCGTGCTCGGCTCCATGATCGACGTCACTTCTCTGTTCGAGTCACCTCGCTGTCGATTCTTGATCAAGAATCTTGCCCTTTGATCCTCCATTCCACGATTTAGCAATGGCCAATCCGTTGGACTCAAGTTAGTGCTATCGAGCGTGACAGCATCAGCATCTCTTCTCTGTCCGTGAGATCTCTCCACCGATTCTTGATCACGAATCGTCACCATTCTATCACCATTACAGTCACAAGCGTTATCTTCCTCTTGCTCGACTTCGACCCTCTTAGATTGATCATCGCCACAGCTTCCAAGAACACTTGCTTCCTTTTGTTCAACTTGGACATTCGTACTTTCATCATTTCCAACTCGCATCCACTTCTTCCACTCGACGGTGGCTTGATTACTATTATTAATCTCTTCCTCTTGCTGGGCCGGCCGCCTTCTTGCTTCAAATGCGACATTGACAGCCTCATACAACTCCAACCCAATGAACTCGGCTAGCGACTGAGTGAATGGGGCTTCAATGGACAGGTCGTTTCGGATGAGGATTGAATCTGGAGATTCTGAGGCTGCGAATGATAACCATTCTGTTTCAGAAATCAATTTCTGGCTAGAAATTAATTTTTCTATTTCTGTTTCTGGAGGAGTTTCTAAGCTAAAAAACATGTTTGATAACGACACAAAATTTCTATTTCAGAAACAGAAATTTGTTTGATAACGGCACAAAATTTCTCCTTCTCATGTGGCCGGCGAGTGGACGGCGGACAATCGCTTCATTTCTTTTAGAAATAGAATAAAAAAATTAGAAAATCTGGAAAATTCCTAAAAATCTAAAAAAATTCAGAAAATCCATAAAATTTTCCAGAAAATAAAAAAAAGTCAGATTTCGGGAAAATAGGAAATGTGTCCATTTTTTCCAAAAAAAATCAAAAATTTCAAAACTTCACAGAATGGCTTAGAATACCTGTGGCCACCCACTTTGAGTGAAATTTAAATTTTTTGAAGTGCCCAAAAAAATCAAAAAATAAAAAATTTCAAAACTTCACAGAATGGCTTAGAATACCTGTGGCCACCCACTTTGAGTGAAATTAAATTTTTTTATTTTTTTTATTTTTTTGGCACCTAAAAAATTTAAATTTCACTTAAAATGGGTGGCCACAAGTATTCTAAGTCATTCTGTGTTAAATTTTTTGGTTTTTTTTTGGGCACCTCAAAAAATTTAAATTTTACGCAAAGTGGGTGGCCACAGGTATTCTAAGCCATTCTGTGAAGTTTTGAAATTTTTTATTTTTAAATTTTTTTGGGCACCTCAAAATATTTAAATTTTACGCAAAGTGGGTGGCCACAGATATTCTAAGTCATTCTGTGAAGTTTTGAAATTTTTGATTTTTGGATTTTTTTGGGCACCTCAAAAAATTTAAATTTCACACAAAGTGGGTGGCCACATATATTCTAAGCCATTATGTAAAGTTTTGAAATTTTTGATTTTATTTTTATTTTTTTTGGGCACTTCAAAAAATTTAAATTTCATTCAAAGTGAGTGGCCACAAGTATTCTAAGCCATTCTGTGAAGTTTTGAAATTTTTTTATTTTTTTGGAAAAAATGAACAAATTTCCTATTTTCCCGAAATCTGACTTTTTTTTATTTTCTAGAAATTTTTATGAATTTTTCTGGAATTTTTCAATTTTTAAGGATTTTTTGGAATTTTTTTTGGCCGACGGGAGGCGGCTGGCCACCGATGGTGGCGGGAGGTGGCCGGTGGTCGGTAGCCGGCGGTGGTGGGAGGCAGCCGGTGGCAGGAGACGGTGGCCGGCGGCGACGGCCAGTGAAGGGTAGCGGCGGTCGGCGGGTGGCGGCGGCCGGCGATGGGCGGCGGGTGAGCGACCGACTAGTAGTGAGGGAAAGTGATGAGAAGAACAAAAAAATTTTGTTTCTCATTTCTGTTCCAAAAATAGAGAAGCTAAAAATTTTAACTTCTGATTTCTCTTTCAAATCTATTTCTGGAACAAAAATTTGTTCCAGAAATAGAAATTAAAATTGCGTTACCAAACGGATTTCTGTTCCAAACCTATTTCTGGAACAGAAATAGAGAAACAGAATAGTTATCATTCGCAACCTGAATCTCTAACTCTTTCCATAAAACCGGCAAGAAGGGATTCGCCCGATCTTCTCAGGGACGAACCGCAGCTTCGATGGCAAGTATTATCCCCTGATCTCTCCATTTGGTGATGAAGCGTATGGAAAATTGGATGGATGGGGAAATTTTTTTCTCAGAAAATCTTGCTCTTAGATATGTTATTCGGCTTTGTGTAGCTTTGCAAGTATGGGAAATCATATATAAAAATCGAACTAAGCGCCAAACTTTTCAAAACAAATTTTTTTTTTTAAAATTCGGTCCCCAATTTGTTTCCTCTAAATAAAGAAAACTGGACACATTTTACGAAATTTCCGTTTCTTGCCAGGGAACGCTTACTATATTATATTTGTTGTTACTACTAAATTAATACTGATTTCTCAACAGTTAACTATATTGATTTGTATTATGGTCATTTTTTCTAAAAGTTTGTTCATTGATGTAGGATAGATAGCAACGGGTCTTCGCTTCATACAATTATTTCTCAGAAATAATATATTTTTGCACGTATATACAGGACATAGCACATTCCATAATGAATCGTGTTGAATATAGGAGTCATCAATTTTTTTTTATAATATGTATTAAATAATCAAATATGTATTAGAAGATGTTTTATTATGCCATTTCAAGTAATAAAAAAGAACCGTTAGGGTTTACTCCGATGGCCACCCTTCTTACTTGGAAAGGAGGAGATAAGGAGTTCGATTCTCCATCTTCTCAGAGAGGATTAGGGGTGGGGACGTTTAGTTTCAGATGTGAGTATCGACTCCCACGCCCTGCAAAGAAGCGAAATGCTTGTAAGTATTCTCTCCATGGTCGTTGTCTCACGGTCCATTCTTGAGCGCTGCCGGCAAATGTGCAGAACGATTTGGTTGTCTTTGTGCCATCACAAAGGAGTCGATTTCGTGGGGAAGATGCTTCTAAAATGCAAGTTGTTCTGAGACATGATTAACTGAAAGAATTTAGCTATGGAGTTTATGAAGAATTCCTTTGGTTGGTCAGGAGGATTTATATTTATCCACACTACGTCATTCCTAAATCCTAATGTCTTCTAATCTAACTATGATTCCTAATACAAGTCGTTCTTAAAATGTTTGAAGTCCTGATTGGTTTAAATAACTTGGCTTACCATATCACATATGTAGATTTTTTTTTACCATGCATATCACATATTATATATATATATATATATATATATATATATATATATATATATATATATATATATCAAAATGGGACTCTTTCTCGCTAAATAAATTATTAATTGAATAGTAATCTACTGTTTAACTTTGAATAACAAGTCATTCGCTCCTCGAGAACTCAGTTAACTTATACAAGCAATTATTGTCAATGCTAAATTATATTTAACAGCTTCTTAATAGGCCTTGAGAAGAGCCAATGCATTGATATAATTAGTGAACTAAAGAAAATTACTATTTGTTCTTGTTTGCAAAATAGACCTACTGAAATAGATGGGTCCAATGGGGTTGATGCCTGTTCAAGCCTAATTCTGCTATTGAAAGTCGCTCATAAAAGAATTCTAATTGATTAATTTTCGATCCCGAACGGGCCAAGGTTTATTTATTTGTATCGCTTGTTTTGGCTGGCTATTTATCTTATTCTTTTAAATCAAATCTTACAGAGATATATCTATCCTTTAATCTATTAGATAAGTGTACAATACTCACTTGTAATCGTGTCACGTGGCTCAACTTCATGTGAACTTCTTTCATTGTTATTTCTATAGTGTATTCTAGAATAAACCTATGTCGATGGATTGAAATTCTTAAATATTTTATGGATGTAGATTCAAAAGATAGTAACTATTTGGAGATATATGAATGATCATGGAGTTAACCAGAGCATGAAAAATAGATGGATTATATTAATCGATAGTCTAATGTACAAGTTGAAAAACTAAACCATCATAACTGAATACATATCTGACGCAGTTTTTATACATAATTTAAGAAAATTCCTAATTCCTAAACGCCTTGAAAATTAATCAACTGCGTTCTCTTCAAGTATATCCTCTTTTCCTTCCGGCTGCTCCATCTATCGATTTCGATTTCTGATTTAAGCAGAAAAAATCCTCTGGCGTCTTCTTGAAGAATGAAAAACTGGAGCCATCGTTCCGATGTGGAAACTCCTTAATTTCCTTGAAAGCACTGGCTCGACCAGAAGCCTCGGAACCAGAATTCCTTATAGGTTTGACAACCCGGCCTTCATCGTCCCTGAGTCCATTTATAAGTGAATACACAGCGGATCCGATGAAGTCGGCCGGCGACTGCGAGAATGGCGGTTCTACGAGATGGTCTGGACCGATGACCCTTGAACTATGCTCTTCTTGCTCCATTGAAAAGAAATTGGGTTTGCTCGGGAAGTTGAGTGCTGAATTGTTGTTCTCGTGGGACATGTCGTCTGTGAAACAACTAAGTTAGAATTTGAGAAGTTCCTTTGGATTATATATACAGCACAATTCCTAATCCTACAAGAAGTGGAATAGTAATTAGGTTTTGTTCTCACTGGCTTGGAAGGCTTCTAATCCGAGTAGCTTTTTAATTCCTAGTCGTAATAAGTAATAACAAAACCATGGAGATCCAACGGTTCACAAGTTTTCAATCATATTATTAATCTTCCACGTATGTCCAGATCCGCGATAACTGGATAAGCTTTGCATTCTTTGAACAATTAATTAACAAGCCCAAGTTGCAAAAAAACGCCAATTCAAGAAATAAGTACAATAGAAGACCTAAAAAATTTCCCATTCATAGATTAAATCCGAATCGTTTTGATAAGTATAGTGAACACCCTTTTGAATTAGGTTCAATTAAGACCTAATATCATCGCCGGCGGCATTTCTTTCTCGGATAATCGTTTCACTTCAACTTTTAACAAAATTAGGCATGAAGCACAATCATGCCAATAATACAGACGATTTATGCTGTTGAATAAGGAAATAGGATTTGGTCATTTGAAATTAGATTTTGAAAAGGATCCAATTATCACACATATAGAAAACAAAAATTAAGGAAATAAAAAAGATACTTTTGACTGTATAATGAGATATCTTAAATTATTTAATCACATGATATCCTCTAAAGTATATGATCCCAGCTTATGTATAATGTCCCCCAAACTTTTCAGGATAATCTAATCCAAAAAAATTCCTACTCGTTTGGTTCTTGCCAAGATACTACTCAAGAGTCACGAACTAGAAGTTATAAATCCATGAAAATCTGAAAGCAAAGCCTTCAACACAAAGCCCTAATGCAGAAAGAGAACTGATCACCGAGAATTAGCTAATAAAACCCCTAAACCAAGAAAAGCCCCAGAAACATTGTTTCCTCATGCTGTGAGGAAGTCCAAGAAAATGCATCAAACTAATCCCACCTCCTTGTTCCACTTCTTCTTCTTCTTCTTCTTCTTCTTCTTCTTCTTCTTCTTCTTCTTCTTCTCTTGCTCCACTGCATGACCGAACTATGGCGACCACTTGACCCAGTTGCAAAATTTGCCTGCAGCGCTTTTCGTCCCATGTGATCTGTCCATCGATTCTTGATCATCAATTGTTTTCGATCATCATCACTTCCTCGATCATGCTCTTCCTGTTGTTCACTTTCATGGTCTGTATGTAGTTCGATCATATCCAACCTTGTTGACGATGGTTCCTCTCATTCCGCTGCTGTTTTCTTGCTTTGAATGCTGCATCATTGACGGCCTTGTACAACTCCAATCCACAGAACTCAGCTAGCGACTGAGAGAATGGGGCTTCAATGGAGAAGTCATTAATCTGAATGAGGACTGGACCTTGTTGATCATGAATAGTCTTCTTTAGATCATCGTCACTATTATGAACATTCCCATTCTTCCTGTGCCACATTGATGGCCTCGTACAACTCCAACCCACAGAACTCGGCTAGCGACTGAGTGAATGGGGCTTCAATGGACAAGAAATTCTGACTGAGGATTGAATTTTGTTGATCACGACTGTCGCTGTTTGATCATCATCGCAGTCACAAACGTTCCCTTCTGCTTGTTCAACACCAGCGAAGTTCGTGTTTGGTCATCTCCAAATTCATTGACAATGGCATCATTATTAGTCACTCCTGCTCGTTGCACTTGCAGTCTTCTTGCTTTGAATTCGACTTTGATGGCCTCGTGCAACTCCAACACACAGAACTTGGCTAGCAACTGAGTGAATGGGGATTCAAAGGACAAGTCGTATCGCATGAGGTTTGAATCTCGAGATTCTGAATCTATCGCTCGTTCCACTAGACCGAAGAGAAGTGACTCTCTGGGTCTTGTCGGGAACAAACTGCCGTCGCTTCGATGGTGGTTGTTGTTCATTGATCTCTCCATTTGGGGATGAAGCGTATGAAAAATTTGGAAGACTGCGGAGATTTTTCTCAAAGAATCGCTCTTAGATATAAGGCTTTGTGTTCTTCGGCAAGCGTTGAAGGTCTGTATACATGAAGAGTAAATTGAGCTCCAAATTTTTTTAAAAGGGTTTAGTTATGGGAAAATGACCCTGAAGTTTTGTTTTATATTGTATGTGCTCATTAAAAAAAAATTTAATTCAATCTTTTCGTTAAATTTTCAAAGTTTCAATCAATGTAATCCTTCTGTTATAAATTCTAAACACAAATAGTTAGAGGTCTTTTCCCACTGCTCAACAAAATAATCTGATTATAAAGCCACCCTTTTTCCACTTTATTTATGATTAAAACGCTCTTTAACACAGTATTCTAACAATATTGCCCGTTATCGGTCCCACTTTTTAGCATCTATTTGTCCCTTTATTGATTTCCTATTTCTTTAATTGTGGGAATCACATCCACTTTCCATAATCATTTCTCTTTCGCTTTTTGGGTCGAACTCTATTCTCCCTCAATAAGCAGTGAAATAACAAATCATGAAGGTCACGTCCTTGTGCTCGCATATCCTAGGCAGAGCCAGATCAACCCACCATCGGGACGTTGACGAAGCCCTCCTCCTTAACCACCTCCATTTCCGCGGCTATTGATATGACTCGCTCGATCACATTGTAATTCACGCTCTTTGCGAGAAAAATTAGCCCTAATTGGTCTGTGGATATTTTGGATAGCTAGATGGGGAGAAGGCGAGGAAATTGATCGTCGGGCTCCGGAAGGTAAT